CAGAAGGAAGCAAGACGAAACGAGGAAATTTGAGATATCTGGCAGTTGAGAATTGCGATTTATGCTCCAACCATGATGTATGAAGATTTAAAGGCAAGCTTTCATTCCAATTGAGCTTGTCTTTATGCAACAACTGCATGAATATTTTGAGTTTTGTAACTATGGGAGATATTAATCCAAGAGGATCATAAAATTTAGCGATGGTTGACAGGATGGATCTTTTTGTTGCTTTTTCGACAGCGAGATCTGTTGAGAAATTAAAGATCAAACGATCGCGACTTGGATCCCAAACAAGACCAAGAGTTTTTGTAATGTCAGTTCCGTCGTGAAACTGAAACAGCTTTTCTAAATCCTCTTCAGATTCGCCTTCGAGAGCGGCAGCTTCATTGGAATATCATTTTCTTATTGGGAAGTGACCACGTCGTAACAGCTCTTTGACCTGCATCCGAATTTGCGTTACTTCTTCAACAGAATCGCCTCCCGAAATTAAGTCATCTACATAAAAGTCTCGGCGAATGATATTTGCTGCAAGTGGTAGATCAGCCTCCTCGTCCTGAGCTAATTGCTGCATAGCTCGAATTGCTAAGAAAGCAGCCGGCTTAGTTCCGTAGGTCACCGTATCCAAAGTGTATACCTTGACCTCGTCATCAGGATTGTCGCGCCACAAAATGCACTGCAGATATTGAGCAGGATGTGTCATGCGGACACAACGGTACATCTTGCAAATATCGCCACACAAGGCAATCCTGAAAAATCGGAATCGAAGTAACGTGGTGAATAGCTTGGGTTGAATTGATGGTCCAGCCAAAAGAAGATCATTCAATGATTGGTTTGTGGTTGATTTTGCTGTCCCATCAAATACAACACGCAATTTTGTTGTTGTACTATCCGTTTTGCGAACGCAGTGATGTGGCAAATAGAATTGAGGCAAAGTATACTGCTTGTTAGAAAGCGACATGTGTTTCAAATCGAGGTATTCCTTAAGAAAGGCTGAGTATTGCAACTTTAAATCCAAGTCTTTAGCAAATTTGTTTTCGAGAGACTTAAGACGGCGTAATGCACGCTCATAAGAGTCTCCAAGAGAGTTCAAAGGAAATTTAGCTGGCAAACGAACTGAATATTGTCCAGAGCTGAGTCGAGAATATCCCTTTTGAAATAGCTGCTCACACAGCAAATCATCGTCCGATATGGAAGATGCAGATCCAACGCAATGATCTCTCTCCCAAAATCTTTTCAAAATGTTAGGTAAATCTTCAACTTCTGGAGAATGGGATGCTTCTAAGTTTGATACAGCCAATGCTGAAAGGCTTCTTGATGAGGGAGCAACAATTCCACCTACGATCCAACCGAGTCGTGTCTTTTGAAGATAGGGCAAATTTTCTGCAATTTTAATTTGGCCCGCGCAAAGTAATCCATAATATAGACCACCTCCAATTAAAAGGTCTATTCGTTGGCTTTTATTAAAAAATGGATCCGCAAGATGAATGTTCAGAGGAATATTCCAATCAGAAGATTTAATGTCAAAATGCGGATGATAGCCGGTGATTGTGTTTTGTACGGCAGCAGTAAGCGATGTGTGATACGATGAATCACGAGATTTAAGCTCAACGTCGATTGAACTATTTGATGAGAGAGAAGTTTCTCCAACTCCCGAAATCCGTATGCCAGTTCGATGGGATTTCAGCCGAAGTTGGTTGGCGAGGCGAGTGGTGATTAAATTTAGTTGAGCTGCATTATCTAATAGAGCTCGACAGGGAACAAAAACTCCAGAGCGATTTTTGAGATAAACTACAGCTGTGGCTAGCATCACGTATTCGGTCTGATTTTCATTTTTGGGCTTAGGTGATGCAATCGATGTAGATTTAGATACAAGAATAGAAGATGAATTGGGCTGAGAATCAAGAGGAGATTGCCTAACGACAGTGCTGGTGCTCAAATCCATGTGAAGCAATGAGTGGTGTTTGGATTGGCAATGCTTGCAATGCCCAGACTTGCACTGTTGTAAGCTGTGCCCTTTATGAAGGCAGTTTAGGCAAAGATGAAGACGCTTTGCCTCCTTGTAACGCATCGTTGGAATCAAATTCAAGAATTTAGGGCACTTAAATAAATTATGATCTTTGGCGTTGCACAATGGGCAAGAGGGGCCAGACGAAGAGATGAGGGCATTTCGATACGGTTTTAATTTTCCCACCTGAGCGCTGGATGTTTGGGTTACCACAGCGTTTTCCAAATTTTCCATCATTCGGCATCTCTTCTCTAAAAACGTTGACATCTCGGTCCATTTCGGAAGCTTGTACGTTGGCAAAGACTCTTCCCATTTTTCGCGTGTAGCTGGATCCAATTTTGAAGCGATGAGATGAATCAGCATTCCATCAGCAATTTCCTGCGATGATGCTATTGTGCTCAAAGCCCGTAAATGTGAATTAATTTTGTCGCTCAATTCACGAAGACTGCTTGCAGAACCTCTCTCAACACCTTTGAACCCAAAAATTGACCGTACGTGTGCCTGAAAGTGTAATAATTTGTTATCAAAACGTTTCAATAATAAATTCAATGCGATATCATAATTTTCACTTGTCAGCTCCAGGGATCGTATAGTGTCCAACGCAGCGCCATCTAAGCAAGATCTTAGATGCTGAAATTTCTCCACTTTGCTCAGATCCTCGAGTTTTCCAACTGCGTTCTTGAACATGGAGTAAAAATCTGGCCAATCCATGTAAGAACCGGAGAAACGCGGTAATTTGAATTCAGGGAGTCGAGAGCTGCTAGCTGAACACCGAAAAGTACTTTGATCCTCGATCACATTTCGAATTACCGTGGAATTAGCAATTAAGGATTTTTGTAAGCGATTGAGTTCACGATTTAATTTTGATCTGACACTGCAATAGACTTGGTTAAATTCGGTTCGCGCGTCAGAAGTCAACTCCAATAAGTCGAGCTTCTCTAGAGTGGTCTGAGATGCGTCAAAGTCTGATTGCATTCGAGCAGAAATTTCAATGCGCACCTCAAGATCCGAATCATCAAAATTATTTAGCTCTAGCCTTATAAAAATCAATGTCCCTTGATGCCACAGTAGGGTTAGGAGATCCCGTAATCTCCGAATTCATTTTTTTAATTTTTCGAAAAGTCTAAAAACTGTACAAAATGTATATAAGGTCCGAATGTATATACTCTTAAAGGTTAGTGAACCTTTGAAACAGTTATTTGGTCACTTCGAAATATCACGCGATAGAAAAGAACGAAAATGTATGTGTTTGTATGTATATATATGTATGTATATATATGTATGTATGTATGTTATATATATACCGAAAGCCCGGCACTTGAAACTAGCTGTATGGTATGTAAACCAAGCATATGTGATCCACTATGCACTTCTCAAAATTTTGTATTTAACTTTTGAAACACGTGTACAAAAGAATTTTTTAAAAAGGTTTGAGTTTTTTGTTCGTTTAGAGCCTTTACACCGAATATGTACAAAGCGTTTTTTAATAATTATTAAAAACGATATTTAAATAATTAACCAAACCGAAAATTAGTGGTTTATCATGTCGGGGTCACCACTGTTACGAGGACTGACTGGTTTGACAGCCCTTTTTAATAATTAATATCAAATTAGTACAAACGATATTGTATAATTCTTATTTAATTTATTAACGATTTTGTTTATTATACAGACAGCATTAGTTAAGTGCGCTTAGAATGTAAGTGTCGCGAGAGACAGATTAGAACAAACGAAGAACGACTTTCGACTGACTTGAAGAGTCCAAAGCAAAAGCGTAAGAAGCTGAGCATGCGCAAAAGCTCGTTAAAGAAGAAAGCGATAATAAAATAGTGAGATAATTGAAAGCTAATATGTGCAAGAAGTGACCGATTACAGTGGGCAAGAAAGATTATTTGAAAATGTGATTTACGTTAAAGTTTAAATTGGCAAAAGTATAAATGTTTTAGAGAAATTAAATAGATCGCTAGTTCTGCTCCCGACACAGCACTTTTGAATATATTAGAATCAGAAAAATATATATATATTATATCAGAAAAAGTCAAAAAAATACTAATAGAAGATGTTCATGATAAATTTTACATTCAAAATAATCAACTTTATTAACAATACTCCAGAGAATCAATATTAAATAAGTGTATTACAGGCATACTAAATCAATCACCAGCAGAGTGTAGATATTCTAAAATCCATAATAATCTTGGCGTAATTTATATAGAGCCAAATATTATTTTAACTTGGAAATTATAAAAAATGGTTTTAAATCAAAATATCATTAGTAATAGAGAAATTATAATGGAATGAGATAACATAATAAAATCTTTTAATTGTTCTGTTATGTAACAATAATGTAACAAAATTAGAACCATTATCATATTTATAAACAAAATAAATAATACAAGATCATACAAGTACATACATACATACATTACAGATTGTAAAATTAACTTTTATAAAGTTAAATTTTATTTTAATATAAGTATATAATAGGTTAGCAAATATCTCCCTTCCGCTTTTTTTGCTCTTTATTCAATGCTTTATAAAAAATGTTACAGTGATCGGTGATCAGTGATTTAGTTCAAATATGCGCCGTTTTGTTCGATAATCTGTGTCCAACTTCATAATACCTCCCGCCTTATTTGCGAAGAACTCGGACAGCCACTTTTCACAAGCCTCTTTTGAGTTCAACTTTACACCACCAAGGGCATTCGCCATGGACAGGAACAGGTAGTAATCACTTGGCGCTATGTCCGGGCTATATGGTGGATGCGATAAAACCTCCCATCTGAGCTCCCGTAGCTTCTGACGAGTCATCAACGAAGTGTGTGGTCTGGCGTTGTCCTGGTGGAACACTACACCCTTCCTGTTGGCCAATTCTGGACGCTTCTGGTTGATCGCCTGCTTCAAGCGGTCCAGTTGTTCGCAGTAGATGGTAGAATTAAGCGTCTGGCCATATGGGAGCAGCTCATAGTGGATGATTCCCTTGTAATCCACCTACATGTTCTCCATCTTCGCAACCTGATTAACTGATGATCGCCCTCCACCAAAAACCTTAAATATTATGCCGATCGATTCATTGTTGCTTCCAACTGCCATTATCTACGTAAGAAATAGAATTGGAGCACTCATGCCTTGTCATGCTCAGCTAAGCTTCATAACTTCTGCTTAGCTAGTCAACTGAATTTGAATCATAGAAGATCGATTTCTGGGATCGGAGAATCTACCTTTTGATAAGGCAGTCGATAGTTTTGCGCAAGCACAGGATGCAAGCCTGTCCTTCATTCGTCCTTCATGCGCATCTGTTGTGACTCACAGTATCACGGATTATCAGCCCCATTTCAATATAAATGCAACATCACGGAGGATACCACAAAACATTACTCGCACTGATCCTTATTTCAATACATGTATATGTATTTCACAACGAACTGACCTTTTAATTGGCGCTGGCTCGTCGTTTCAGGAGTTTAGAAGCTAAGCTGGATATACGGGAGTATATCGATTTAAGCCACATGTCTTTCCTAACAAGGAACATATTAGTACCACAATTATTTTTGCCTCACCACTGCGTACATAAGGAGGAGAGCACGAGCACAAAGCTTCGTGTCGTATTTGATGGATCTTCTAAAACGACTTCTGGTAGCTCTCTGAGCGACTTACTTCTTGCAGGGCCAACAATTCAGCAAAAAATCGATTTTGTAATCTGACCCTTTGTGGAGATATCTCCCGGATGACTTTTTGCAGTTGGCGAGAGAACTCCAAGGATGAATTGACGGTTTTTAAATTGAACACTGTGACTTATGGAACCAAGCCAGCTGACTTCTTGGCTATGAGAGCGATGCATCACTTCTCTAATGATGAGGAGGAATCATTTCCAGTTGAAATAAAAGTTATTCGTAGAGATTTCAATCTAGATGATTTAATCTCTGGAGGGGACTAAGTTCAGGAGGTGATTTCTATCGTCGTCAGGTGAAGGAACTACTGTCGCGAGGTCACTTTCCAATCCGTAAATGGTATCAGCAGCCCTGGAAGGAGAGTCTAACTGCGACAAGGAGCAGTTAATCAAATTTCATGATGGATCGGATATCGCCAAAGCATTATAATTGGCCTGGGTTGATCTTCAGATCAACTTATATTTATTCTATGATCCACTTGGTCTAATAACCCCAATTGTCACAAAATCTAAGATTTTTCTTCAATCTTTATGGAGTGCTAAAGTGGATTGGGATGACGCATTGCCAGAGTCAATTCTTTTGTTATGGGGGAAGTTGACCTCACAATTATCTGTCGTGCAGAACTTAAAATTTCCACGATTCGTAATGCAGCCTAGAGCTTTCGTGAAGTTGCATGGATTCGGCGATACTTGCGATCAAAGACTAATGTAGAATCGAAACCTCATCTGCACTGTGCCAAGTCAAAAGTAAGTCCAACATTGGAGCTTTCCGCAGCGCTTTTATTAGCTGAGCTAATCGTAAGCTTCAAGGAATCCATAGATTTCGATTGCGCCTTTCATTTCCGATACTTTTACCAAAGGATCATCCAGTTACCAAGGCAGTCATTGTTTATTATCATGAGAAATATTTGCATGCAGGACCGTAGGCGTTACTTTCCACATTACGTCAAAGGTTCTGGCAGATTGGAGACCGCAATTTCGTTGCGTCCGATGTTTTAGAATGAAGACTGTGGCTTGGGATGGAAATGGAAAGCCTTCCAGCAAATCAAGTGCAGCCTAATCCAGAATTTCATATTACAAGAATAGATTATTGTGGGTCATTCTATTATAAGGCAGAGACCAGAGGCCGTCTTCGTTTGCTTTTCCACGAAGGCAGCTCATTTGGAAGTTGTCCAGGATCTCACGACGGATTCTTTTATCGCAGCGCTGAGAAGATTCATCAGCCTTCGAAACAGTCCGCGTACTGTTTGGAGTGACAATGCTACAAACATTGTCGGTGCAAAGAGCGAGCTTGCCGAACTGCGAGATCTATTTGTGAGCGAACTGCACACGGCATCGATATTTTCCGCCTGCTTAGCTGATGGGATCGATTGAAAGTTAATCCGTATTCGTACCCCGCACTTCAGTGGTTTATGGGAAGCTGCTGTTAAGTCAGCTAAATTTCACTTCTACAGAGTCGTCGGTGATTCCATCGAAAAATGAAGGACACTCGCGTATGTGATTTCTGCCATCCTTAACTACCGTTCACTCTCTCAAATTTCAGTAAGTGGTGGAAGTCTTGAGGTTCTAACGGCGGCGCATTTCTTAAAAGGTACCAGTTACACAAAAATTTCCTGAGCCTCACATCACTCATCTTTGCGAAGGCCGCCTCAGCGAATGGGTGACCCAGATGGAACAACTCTTCTGAAAAACATGGAGCTGCGAGTATTTGTCCCTACTGCAAGAAAAGAGCAATTGGCGCTTCGATTAGTCTAGCATCAAGGTTGGAAAAATAGTTTTGCTGAAGGAGGACAACATTCCACCGTTGAAATGACAGCTTGGGTGCATCCAGGAAGTCATATACGGCGGGGACGGCGTCATCAGAGTAGCATTTCAGCCCATCGATTCCGATGTTGTTGGAACCATACCTCTTCCAACGGGCGGAGTATGTTTGGAGCAGATCGCCAGCGCCTAGTCATGCACGCATGTGTTTACTGTGTACTGTACCTTTGTAGACAAATTAGCAGGGCTCTTCGAGTCTCTCTTTTCGCCCTTCTTTCTTTTCTCCCTAAAGCTGCCGCGTTATCTATTCAGCTAAACTAATTTGTAAGCTTATGCTTAGGGGTTTATATTTTAAAGCAAAGCTTTCGCTTAGTTAGTCTGCATTTCCGAATAATACATTTACATTAATGTAACCTATTTGTGCGTTCTTATTAATTATAGCCCTAAGGGTGGCATATTGTTTGTCTTCCCCATAAACACGTGTTAAGTTGGAAAGATTAGAGTCTTACCAAAATCCCATGACTTAAATACGGTGAGCTTACACAGAGAAATTTGTGCTTGAATATCTAATCCCTTTCCCTCATCCCAAATCCATTCTCAGGACGAGGGCATTAACATGCCGACGCAACAACGATTAAACTGTACTATTTGTGTGGAACCGACGGTATCTTTTTGTATTTGTAATTTCTTCACTCACTGTAATTTGAAAGGGTTTAACAAAAATGCGTAATTAAACAATATTTTACATTTTCATACGATCAATTTACTTTTTAAAATTAAACAAAATAATGTAATTTAATGCTTTCTTATGTTTTACAATTTTGATTGCATAGTTCAAGTTGAAATACTTATTTCGATGTACTCTTTTAATAAGCTTTTAGTCATCGCCACCAGTCATTACTTCCATAAATTCTATGAAATAAAAAATTTCATCAAATAACAAAAAGTTTATAATTCGGATTTAAGATTTATATACCATCAAAATCAACAGTACCCGATCCATCGGAATCAATTTCCTCAATCATCATGTCCAGATCGTCGTTTGTCAATTTATCATCTAGTTCGCGTAGAATTTCACGAAGAACGCCAGTAGTTATATATCCATTTCCTTCTTTGTCGTAAAGGCGAAAAGCTTCCTTCAATTCAGCCATCATGGCTTCGGCGTCCTCTTCGACAAGAAAGCGGGCGGCCAGTGTGGTAAATTCTTCAAATTCAATTTGTCCTGAACCATCTTCATCGACTTCAGCGATAATGTCAGCAAGAGTGGCATCATCAAGTTGATGTCCCAACATGCTAAGTATCGTACCCACCATGGCTGTGTTTATATATCCATTCTTTTCTGGGTCAAAAGCATTAAATGCATTACGTAGTACTATTAGGAAATGATTTTTAGTTAAAGAACGGAGTAAATGTATTATAAGCTTACATGCAGTTTGCTCCTTTGTCAATTCATCCTATGGAAAAAAAGTGTTTATTTAGAATTTACAGCTTAGGCATAATACAAAAATACAATTTTATTTAGTTTATAAATCCCCTGGTTACATTTTTTGTTGCTTAATAACTTAATAACTTTGTTAACTGCCTCCTGTGTGGTTTGATTTAATCTGCCAGTGGTCAGATGTTACGCCAATATCACGGATTTTATAAGGCTTAAAGGAAAATTCACAAAAATACCTTCCCACTACAATTTCCCTGAAGGCGGTATCAAAAAATATTTTTTTTGATTTCCCAAACCGTCCATTGACTGTATTCTGTGTATTCTCCTTCAGAGCTACCCATTAGCATGCAAAGCGGCCTTCATCTGCAATATTTGTCCTTTTTTAAACCGTCTCGTAGTATGTAGCTCAAATCCTCCATTGCCGAAATCTTACCTCCTGACGGGGGGTTCCGGAGCCACTTTATAAAATCCTTAGACTTCAAGATTCAAACAAAAAACAGCCGAGAATCTGGAGTCAAAGGAATGAATCACACTGATAGCAATGCAATTCCTCAATTAATGAGGGTCGAAAGGCCAGTACAACGACCATCTTTCCCATAGTAATTTTACTCCGGTAATTAGCAACGTTCGTCAGACGCTCACTAACTCCATAAGCACGGAACATAGCGAAATATTTTTTCTTGATGGACACCAACACAACTAATAACGGGAGTACACAAAAAGCTTTAGTCTGCTATTTTTCGGATAATCAACTTATAAAATGGGGACTCAGAAGGGTCAAAGGCCTAGTAGGGGACAAAAGTCGGCCAAAAACAATGACATAACTTTTCGGCAGTGAGGACTGATTAACGGTAGAAAAACTAATTTCAGGAGAGCTAAGGTGAGGAGAAGGCTTACCAAGATTTATATATCATTAATATCAACAGTACCCAATTTCCCCAATTAAGTCTAGATCGTCCTCTGTTAGTATTGTAAAGATTACAATTTTAAAAATCTGAATCTGAATAGCTTTAAGCTATTTTATAGCACAAAAACGGCTAATGCTTGTAGACTGTGTGTTCCAATCTAACTATCGTTGTTGGTATTTACAAATAAAATATTCATGTTGAAAAGAAAGTTTATACAGCGATGTAGAGCGAATTTTCGTTATATTTCTCCTTATTAAATTTATCATAGACTAATTAAGTCTACAAGAAGCAAAAAATAGACGGAACAAAAATATAGTTTCAGGCATAGTGAATAGCTTTTAGTATTAATTGACAGTATGAAAAAATGACTTTATCCGAACATAAGTTACATATGTAAAAAACATTCCGGAAAGACTAATGAGGGTTTGCCATAAGTTCGGGTTGAGTAAGGCTGACACTCATTTGAAATTGCAAAACCCCCGAAGAAAATTATTTTAAGTTTATGGAAGTGTGCTTCGCCTTAGGTAACCCATAAATTACAAAGTTTCTTCCTAATTAATGATATTCCCCATCAATGTTTTCTTAGACCACAGAGTACGTCTTCCAATGTTGTGCTCGGGGCCGCTTGCAAATTATAATCCCAAGATTATAATCTTTCGAAGATGAATTGTGTTATACAATATTCCGCATCCGGCTGCATAGGCTTCCCTTGACAGCCGATTAAGTTATATTGAAGCGGATAGAAAATTTTAAATTTATAATGTAAAGAAGAGACCCATCAAAGGCCTCGAAATTATACCAGTTCATCGCCTTAGCATATGGTAGTGTCTCAGCTCCATTTATAGTTATTCGGTGGTTAGTGAGTCGTTTAGAGATACGACAAAACTTGCATTCCCTACGGCTGCTGTCGTTATTGGATCTTACTTCTAAGGTAAGGAATTATATGTTAATTGAAGCAATAGATGTTATTCAGTTATTGCCAACATATCAGCTTTCGTTATCTATGCATATCAGCTGCGTGGGCATCTAAGCTCTCCCCTCTCGCGCCCTCTTTTTTTCTAGTACTCTTGCACCTACAATTTTGGCTTAGCGTTCTGCTGTACGCAATGCAATTAATTCAACTCTCTCTTTCGTACCCTGTGAATGTGCGCATCGCTACCAAACTTCGCTGAAACCCATAAACATATTCGTTCGAAATCGCTGCATAAAAATACTCTTTTGTAAAAGTAATCTTTTTGAAAATAGTTAATAAAAAGCTTATTAGCTCAAAAGTATGTCTAGCGTCTGCATCATCAGATGATAGATGTAGCTTTCTTTCGCTCAAACGGCAAGGCTTTGCCAAGACAATTGGCAGTAAAGACAATACAAACTTTTCACTTATGTTCCTACTTCACTTATTTTGTTATAGTGTTTGGTAATTCTTAAGAATATTTCTCCACCTGTGATGTTAAGATACAAAATTATGATGTACAGATTCACTTAATAAATAAAAAAAATCTTTCTTTCGGACAACATGGATTCCCGGATCTGCATATATTCACCACTGAATGTCTGTCTACAACGGCCAACTTAGGTCGCTAGGTCTCCGCATTAACTCCCAAAATAAGGAACCTGGCGAAATATTACTCCCAGGTGGGAACTCTGAACCAATCCACCCAATCACGGAACATGGTTCTAGGTTAGGATCACTAACCGAGTCGATCTGGACATAAGTCCGTATGAACTTACGAACTATAAAAGCTAGAAAGTTGAGATAAAGATATATATATTATATATATATATATATAGTGACATATTCATATCTTCATACGACATACTTCATATAAAGAAGATAAAGCCGATCTTTTGGAAAGCTTCACTCTCCAAAAGCCTCATAAATAACATTCCCCCAAGATACGAACCGCTTAACGGTAACGAGCTTAATGATCTGTTAATCTTGACATATAAAGCTAAGTAGAACTTAAAAGGCTTATGTTAATCCTCTGTAAAAGGTTTGCTGGGCCGAAAGAATACATTTGTAAATTAGTTCTTAACTGACCTCTGGTGAAACTTATTCAAATAAAGATCATAAAAGGGAAAATATATTTTTTTTCATTAAATCTATCACCAAAAAAGTTTATTGGCGCAGTCGGTAGGATACTGAAAAAAGTCCTAGTAAACTCGTTATCCTTTGACAATCTAGTGAAAAGAGGAAAACTTGTACGACCAAGTAACCTTTTCTGATTGTACCCGCGAATTGGCCGCAACAAAGTGATTTCGGTTCGTTTAAAGTGACTAAAATCGGTATCCGCACAAGAACCTGTGCGATCGGAGTTAATTTAAAGACCTAATTTTTTGGACCGCTTCGTGAAGTGAGACCTCCACTAAGGTGTAATACAATTAAAAGGCGCACAGTGCAGTTCACTAAGACATAAGTCTCGACATACTGTAGCAGTCTGTGAACAAAAACAGTAGCCCACTAAAATCAAAAGTGCGACCGCTACTATTGTATAAAACAATAAAAAGTTAAAACAGTGCAGTTCACTTAAGGCATAAGTCTCGACATACTGCAGCAGTCTGTGAACAAGAACAGAAACTAACTTATAAATAAAACTAAAATGGAATTAAATGGAATGACAAGTACCGAAATTCTCTGGAGACCCATCAAATCTCAGCTCGTTCATCAGACGTATCGAATACCTGTTGAACTTATACCCTTCAAACGACGCTCGACAGAAGGCGGTTATATTTGGAGCCATCGAACTTCAAATTGTCGGAGATGCGGAAAAGGTTACCCAATTTGGAATGCACAACGAATGGACAACTTTAAGAGACGCCCTTCAAGACTCAGACGCCCTTGGAGGAACTACTAGGAAGATTGTATCGCACACCTTTTAAAGGTAACTTACGTCTATTCTGTGAACAATTAGAAGATAAGTCCAGTGTAATTATAAATAAATTAGCACTAGAGAATGACCGAAATAATATGGTGGTTTATACACAAGCAATGGCAACCACAATAAAAAATACAATTCAACGCTCACTCCCCGATAGGTTGTTCATGACCTTAGCGAGGTATGACATTTCAACCGTTCAAAAATTAAAGCAAACCGCCCAACAAGAAGGTCTATACGAAGACCCAATTTCAAAAACATTCGATAGTCAGCCAAAATTTAACTCAAAATCACCTAACACCTATAAACATACAAACATTAACCAAATCAAAAACACTCATCCCAACCAACGATTCATTCGCCCCTTTATTCCATTAAATCCCACACAGACCCAAAACACTAACGTAAACAATCAAACCCCTTTTAGACAAATTCCTCCGACCAGACAACAGCAACTTAATCAGTACAGAAATTTATACAACGGATTCAGAACAGACTTACTTCAGGACCGTCAAAACGACACCCGAAACTACTATCAGCCCCCCCAACAACCAAGAGTGCCAAATAAGCGTCTTAGAGAAAGCAGCGAACAATCGCATATGCAGACAAATGAAAATTTTCACCAGCACGAATTAGATTACGATAACGAAACTGAACACTACATTAATAACGACGAACAGTTCCACGAAGATCAATTACAGAATACTCAGACAGAATTGTTTACAGATCAGCAATATCAACAAGCTGCAAAATTTCCAATAACAGCCTGGGATCCCACCAATACATAGAGATCATGTTTAATAACCACAGATATAGATGCATAGTTGATACTGGCTCTTCGATAAACTTGATGAGCTCAAACTTTTTCAATCTTCAAGTTAAAGATAAGCAAATAACTGTCCGAAGTATGACAGGCTATTCTAAATTAAATAAATATGTAGACCTTCCAGCCAACGGTCTTTTTCAACAAACGCAAAAATTCTACATTCATTCATTTTCACCTTATTATGATATTCTGTTAGGAAGAAAAATACTATGAAATATACTATATATAATAACGGTTTAATAGACTACTCTCGGAAAGAAACAATAATTAACGAAAGAACATTCATTCACAAAGAACTATATAAAAACCTCTCATGAAAACCCAGTTTACCAAAGACCATACTCGTACCCGTTTTCCTACGAAGCAGAAGTAAATAAGCAAATTGAGGAAATGTTAAAAGAAGGCATTA